TCAATTACAATTGTAATTACTAAATAATTATTAAAAATATTCGTATTACAGTTTGTCTTCTTTTTGTTGTTGTTTTGTCTTTTAATACATAAGCTTCATTATTAATTAATAATTTCTGTTCTTTTTTGTTTTATTTAGTTTTGTTTTAGCCAAGAAAATTGTCGAACTTTGTTGCATTATCGTTTGTGATCAATTACAATTGTAATTACAATTATTCAAAAAATTCGTATTACAGTTTGTCTTCCATTTCTTGTTGTTTTTTTCTTTTCATACACAAACTTCATTAATTCATTTATTTAACAATTTTATTCTGTTTCTTTAATCGTATTTATTATTAAAAACGTTGTAATATATTGTTCAATATTGAATCGTCTTAACGAGGAAGAAAGAATTTGATTAAAGGCGAAATTAAGCAGCAGCGTGTTATTAGTAGACAAAAAAAATCGTTTTTTTTCTTTTTTTTTTTTTATGTCCTAGATTCTCAAAAATGTCTTTAATATAATTCCACATGGCAGTAATAATACTAATTAATGATGAACAACAATGTGATATACGCGTCTTACATTCTATAAAATACTTTTCTTCAATATTTTTACACATTTATATTTTATATTCAAGAAAATATTTTAGAATATAAATATATGTATATTTTCTAATAATTAAAAGAAAAAAAAAAGAGAGAAAAAAGAAAAAGAAAGAAAGAAAAATACAAAAGATAATCTTACAATTAAATAAAAGCAAACTTTTTAAAAGGATTATTCATATTAATTTTTCTCATTTAACGAGAAGATTATTTGTTTTCTTATCCCTTAACAATTTTTTTTTTCTTGTCGAAGATAAGGAGACACACGCGATAAGATTTGAACAAGAAATATTCCGCCATTACGATTATTTTCTTTTACAAAACCTACACATGTTAACAAACATATTCACAAAATTATGTAAATGAGGATTAATCATCATTTTTTTTTGTCTCAAAAAAAAAAAAAACACATAAAACAAAAATTTCAACGTTTGTGTATGTGTGTTATAATATTTTGCGTGTTGTACGTGTACGTGTTTCTCGTTTGAATTAGCAAAGAAAAAAAAAAAGAAATAAAAAATAAAAAAGAACAAAAAAAAATATAAAGATAGATTATCATCAAGGTATTTACACAAATTACTACAATGAAAACCGTAAGAGGTGCCTTATTCAAACATATACGGCACATACATACATACATACATACATACATACATATATATACATGTATATTATAATTTTTTGTTTGTCTCTTTAAACCTATGTGTTTATGTGTGTGTATGTGTGTATATAAAACGCAAGCAGGGTTTGTATATTTTTTGAGCAGTCTTAATTAATCCACGTTACCACCAACCAACACACACGCACGCACGCAAACGAATTGCATCTGCCTGGGTTTTTTTTCTTCTAATATATCCTGATTACCATTTGTTACAACTCTAACATTAGATGAAAACACCGACAAATATATTTTAACAACGACTACAACGCGACACGTTCCACATTAGGAAGCTTATTGGATTAAAAAGAACAAAAAAAGAATTTCTTGTTAACCCTTAGAGTGTTATGGACGCATATATGCGTTTGGTAAAAATTATTAGAATGGTCTATCGACGCATATATTTACGTTTTTGTTAATATTAACACTTTAATGGTCGCTCACATAACATGTGTGTGATAGTTGGAACAACCGTTATTTATTTATAACTTTGTATATATTTAAAATTATATATAAAATTAAATTTGTTGTTAAATTGTTGTTGTTGTTTTTTTTTTATGTTAATTTTTTCGTGAAGTGTATAATAGTTTTTTTTTGTAAAATTAATTTTTCTGAAAGATTATTACCTGGGTGACGTTTGACTGTGTAGACGTGCGGTCATTAAAATGTTAATTTAATTAAATTATATTCAGAAAGACAAACTGTAATTATTAAATATAATAATTCAATATATTTAATAATATAAATATTTAATATTTTTTTATTAGAATCTAGTTAATAATAAATTATTTCGTTCTTACAAAACATTTTAGTTAAACGTATTCAACACTCAAAGGGTTAAACGAGTGTGTATTTGCTTAAAATTAACAAAATTACAAAAACGAAGAATCGAATTATTTTTGATGATTTCCTTTTTTTCTTGTTTTTTTTTTTTTTTTTTTTTTTTATTTTTGTATAATCAAATATTTGGAGAAAATTGTTCAACGAAAAAGAAAATAAAATATTAAACTTAATGTTAAAGAAAATTGTTATTGGCACGCGAAATATCGCAAAAATACATATGCACAATTTATTACACAATAATTGTATTTTCTAATTTGTTTTGCTTTGATTTAACGTAAATTGTTCATTTCTTCTTATCAAGATGGTTTTTTCCTGTTTTTTTTTTTTTTTTTTAATTTAATTTTGCTGCAGGATATTCCGCAGTTTTATATATATATGTGTGTGTGTGTGTATGCTGTGTATACTAGTATAAACTTTCAAACACACGTACAACTGCGTATAGTCGTATATACACCTAATTTTGTGGCACGATCAATACGCGTGTACACCTTTTCCTCTCTTCTTCTTCTTCTTCTTCTTTCGTAGAATAAAATGCATTGAAATATTGAAATGAAAATTCGGTATTCATCTTTCCTTGCCTTTCCTTATCTTTTTTCTTTTTTTTTTTTTCTTTTTTTTCTTTCTTTCCTATCTCTAACATTATACCATGAACTTTTATACACAGTACACGAATGTAATATTAAAATACACGTATCGTACATGTTAATACACAATCTATTATATATATATATATATATCTCTTTATTTTCATAATTATTTGTAATATTTACACCGCATACACACGCTATTACTACTACTACTACTACTACTACTACTACTACTATTACTCTCACACCATTTTTCTGATATTTTTTTTTCTTTTTTAATCATTGTAAAATGAACGAATAAAAAAATATGAAATATATATATATATAATATGAGAAATGAATAGAAATTATTGTAACACGTGTGTAACTTCTTTCCCCACTTTGAAGATGTCAAAGTAATTAAAAAAATTAACAAGAAAAATACAAAAGGAGGGAGAAGAAAAAAGAAGAAGAAGAAGAGGAAGAATTTAAATATAAATGTGAATTACTTTTTGTGTGTGAACTTGAATATTATTATTGTAATAATAATGGGAGATATTTATAAAGCACGTGTATTCTTTTTTTGTTTTTTTTATGCGTTACGCGTGTTACGACCCATATAAATATTACAGATAGAGGAAACAAACCATAGGCGGTTATGTGTAAGTGGAAGAAATGTCTTTGCATGAATTATAGCAGTACAAAACGAAAGGTTGATGTTCTCTCTCTCTAATTCATGCGGTACACACACATATATATATATAACGCAAGAAAGAACAAAAAAACTCGCAAGTTAGAGAGAGACAACATCAATCTCCTATCTTCTATCTCTTTTTATTTCGTTGACAGGTTTTATGATGGTTTGTTTGGTCTATGTGTAGTATCTCTATGGTACGACCACCTCTGGTATATGTTTTGTGATAAATTTATATAAATTATATTTATTCTCTTCTTTTAATACGTAACAAAAATAAAATAATAATAATAATAATAATAATAATAATAATAGTAATTAAAATAAACAAAGCAAAAGATAGAATACAAAAACAACTCTCGCGTAAAGTGTTTTACCGTTGTGCCATTACCCACACTGTGCAGATTTTCTATAGGAATTATAAACGATAATAATAATAATTATTATTATTTTTTTTTTATACACATGTAATATATTTATAAATTTATATGTATATAATGAACAAAAGAAATATAAGAAATTTGTATGTATATAAAAAGAAAAAATATATTATATGTATATTTAAATATATATATGACCATATTTCAGTCGCCATTTTCTATATTCTTATAACAAAAATTTCAAAGAAAAAAAAAAAGAGAAAAGAAAAGAACACTTTTCATAAGTGATAATAAAGAAAAGTAATAATAATAATAATAATAACAATAATAATAATAATGATAAGCGATTATTTATTTATATATATATGTATGTATATGTGTTAGTGTGTATATTTCTGTACAAAATCAAAATTGAAAAGTAAAACGATAATATATTCTTTTATCTATTTCTTGTGTACTTTAATTTAAAAAAAAAAAAAAAAAAATATATAATAATAATAATAACAATAATAATAATAATAATAATAATAATAATAATGTAAATAATATACGAATATTAATTTAATTTTCTATATTAAATCGTAAATTAATAATTGATGATACGAAAATAATTATTATCGCGATTTTATAGTTCGTAGAAATTATTAATGGCAGAGTCTCGTCGATTCAATGGTAATAATAAAAAGTGATAACATCATTATAATTAATGTAATTATTAAATATTATATATTTTTAATTATTATTAACAAAGGAAGGGAGAGAAGTGAGTGTAGTTGGGGATGTTGTGAGTTAGAGAAAGGTATTAATAATGGAGTTTGCGCCATTATCGACTATGTACGATTTCAGCGTATGTATATATTTAAATGTGTATCCAATAATAAACTCTCACGGTTCTCCGATTTCGATCTATCGACCACGCATATTTAAAAAGTTATAACACATTTTTAAATAGAATGTCATATTCTATTAAGATAATCAATTTATTTCGAAGATCTCAAGTGTGATGTGTCATTACCACAGACTCATTTAACACGTTTGACATTCCGCGTGTAAAAGGTTTCATCGAAAATAAAATAAAAAAAAATAAAAAATAAAGAAACAACAAAAAAAAAGAATTATACGTATACATACACATATACATATGTAACGTATAAACTATTCCCAAAAAGACCCTAGTAGCACAAAATATTGAAAAATACACATTTATTCAATATTTTTCAATATTTTGTGCTACTAGGGAAGATTTCAAAAAAAAAAAAAAATAAATAAAATAAGAAATAAAACAATATTTTGTTATTTTTGTTGTTTTATGTTTTATAATATATATATGTGTGTTTGTGTGTGTTCCTAGGTGTCCTTTAATTGTAAGTTCGCGTCTATTGTCCTCTTATGCATAAGAAAAAGAAAAAATGAAAAGAAACGAAAAAAAAAAAGCGTAAAATATAATATTTGTAATTAAATTCGAAATTCATTAATAGTTTGTATATATACGTATAATAATCTATTCAACTGGTGGGTGTGACTTGAGATACGGTAAACGGCGTCACCTGGTATAGGAAACATCTATTGCAAACTCTGACAGGCTTGGTATGTCCGTAACGTGGTAAAGGAACATTGTTGCTGCTACAACGACCGCAAAACACTTTACCACAGTTTCTACAATGATGTCTACGTCGTACCACGGTAAATCCAGCTTGACATGCCATACATCTAGGTGCATCGTTGTCCGGCACCCACGCGGGTGCTCTTTCAACGCATTCTTCACCACGTTCCATTACTGGGGAAGCTAAAAATAAAAAATAAAAAAGATAAGAAAATAAAATCAAATCAATAAATACAAATATCATTGTAAAATAAATCATACGATATAAAAACATTGTTCAATTAATTTTCAATTGTTCTCTTTTTGTTCTTAACATCATCAGCATCATCTCTATTGGGTTTTTCTTTTAATAATAATAATATTAAAAAAAAATAATGATTTACTTTGTTCATTAACAGGAATGTTATCCTCCTCGTCTTCGTACTCCTGCAACGAGTTCTGCCGATCGTGATTGCTACTTGTGCCTAACGTGTGATTCGTAACGACCGCTGCTTGATTATTAGCTGCTACTAAACATTCTTGCTTTGGTTCCTCGTCTTCTACCGTTTGACTACTGTTCATTAGAAACACGCACTTCAATATATTACGAAGATCCGAAGCAAAATTAGTTTGAAGTTGATCCGCCACACCGGCAATACAAACGAATAACCGATGAACCAAATCTTCCGAAGACCTGATAATCATTTGTAAAGAAAAATATTTCAATTAAATCGTCTCACATTAATTTAGACGATTAATTTATTTCAAAATAATACTTGAAAATATAAAAAACAAAATAGTATTATTACTATACCTAAATTTTGCTCTTATTTGATTTCTATTAGCAATTTCCGCAGCTTGCATCGCTAAAGCTATCTCCTCGTCGTCCTGACAATCACTTTGAAATTCGCTAGTTTCTGAACTGGAGTCGCAATAACTTGAATAACTAGAACTTGAACCACAGGCCTCTGGTTTTGGTGACGATTCCGAATTGAAAGATTGCGCAGCTGTAACCATCGAAGGATTCACCAGTCTTAAGGTGGTAGTGGTGGTGGTAGCAGTAGCGGTACTGGTGGTGTTAGTAGTGGTGGTATTACGTGAAGGCCTTTGTAAATTATTGTCTCTTGTATGTTCAAGCCTATTATAACATGTATTAGGTGATGTAAGAGGTGATGATACCGTATCTGTAACCAAACCACTTTTGTCAGTTCTAGGCCCTAAACCGTCGTTCAACAGGTCGTTAGGACTCCTATTTCCAAGTTTTCTCTTAGTTTGTTCCGATCGATGATAATTCAGTCTTTCATATCTGTCACGTCTTTCGAAATCCTTTCTCTTCATACGAGCTATCTGTTCTGATCTAGATCTTCTATGATCCAACAGTTTTCTACTTTGTGGCGAACAATTTCTCGTGGATTTAGTTAAATTATAATTTCGTTGTCTCGAGTTATCGCGCGATTCGAAGTGTTGAAGTCTCGGACTCGCGTGAGGACTGTGACTACCAAAATTTGGCATCTGTCTAGTATTTTGGCTCGGGTGCAGGCTGGCACCGAAATTCGTCAATCGAGGATTCAAACATCTGTCTATCGAGTTAGACCTTGAACTTTCAGTGCTCGGGGTTGATTGAACACAATGGTTACTTCTACTACTACTACTTGTGGTGGTGGTAACCTGCTGACATTTGTGAAGACCTTTCTCGTGCTTCCGTTGATGACGTCGTCGTTGCTGCTGCTTATTGTCCTCTCGGACTTTCCTAGCAACGACCTTTTCCTGTGCGTATCTTTCTATCTTGTTACCCATTTTTTCAATACTCTGCGAAGTAGACGGACGATTCTCACATTTTAAATCACTCCAGAATTCTTTTCTCGAGGTCGACGCGTCTATGTTTAAATTAAGATTCTCCCAATTTTCCGAATAATTTAATTGAAAGCTCGTCTGATTGGAGTCACAAAGTGGTAAATGTCCATTGCCGTACGCCAATCCTACGAACTCCTCGTTGGTGCCATCGAAACTAGAGGAAATCCTTGGAATGTTTTTACTCGAATCGTTGCTGGTTGGACTCAATGGTGTCACGTCAATAGGATGATCCAATGGAGTTATCATTTTTGACGATCTTATACCACACACGCAAGAACTATCCGAAATATTAGAATTATTTCTTTTCGGTGAATTAACGTTCGAACAAGAATAACTGTTATTCTCTTGTTGCGTGTCATCCTCCAAAGGACGTTCGTCGTCTTGAATCTCATTAGCGAACGTCTTCTTCTCTTCAGGACTTTTATCGTACAAACTCGTGTTCTCCGAAGATATGACAGTGCAAATTCCTGAATCTGTTTGTTCGGAAATTTCATTCTGACAATCACCGTCCAACAAAAGATTCGAGAGAGTTTTGTTAGCTTCGGAAATAAGTTTCTTCGAATCTAAATCCGGTAAAGAATTTTGAATGTGTACTGTTTCACCTGTTACATTATTCTCGTGAGAAACCTGATTGAGTAGATACTGACTTTGAAGTATCTCTACGTTTTCCGAGTCAGCGAGCATTTGAGAAATGTCAGGAGTGAGGAAGTTTTCCTCCTGCCTATTGATCTCTCTCGCCGTACTTTCAACGCTACTAAAAATATTCTCCTGTTCTTCCGTTGTTGTTGCTGCCGGTGGTGTTGGTGCTGCTACAACTACTATTACACTTTCTTCCTTGACATTACATATTTCTTCTTTATTAATATTATTATTAAGTTTATTATTATTGTTATTATTATTATTGTTATTGTTACTACCGTTATCACGCGATATCTGTTTTACGGAACAAGAAGAAGAATCGCGATGATTACACGTCTGTTCTTTATTCTCTCTCGAACTATTACTTTGTACTATGTCACAACGCACAATATCTTCCCGAACACTTTCCCTCTCACTATTATCCTCTCCTACCTTAATCGTCACATTATTATCGTTTCGAATTACTACGTTATCACATCCTTCCACGGATATGTTATTTATTAAGTCCTTAGGCCCATCAATTGTTTCCTCGTTATTTCTTCTCCTTTCTCGTTCCTTTTTTTTCGATCTCCTCTCCATTAATCTGTCTTTATTTTCATTGTCCAATGCTTCAACCACGTCGTTGGCAACCTCGTCCATATTATTACCAGTGTTTCTCGTTACGGTATAGAAATCTACTATGAAGTCTTTACAATTAGGATAACCGGTATAAAAATTGTGAACGAATTCCTCGAGATCGGGTAAGTCCTGACACGTTGATTTACTCGACTGATTTATTGGACCCGAGGGTTCTTCGTTGGAGCACAATAATTTCTCCAACATATAAAGTTCACGGTTGTTTAGCGTCCAAAGTAATTCTTTTATCTTCAGGAGAAGTGTCTACATGGAAAACAAAAAATACAACACGATCATTGTTAATTATTAAACAACACTTTATAACAAAAAAAAAAAACAAAAACTTTTGTATTATTTTTGATTGTTTTTTATTTTTTTTTGGAATTATATTCCCGTATATTTTTTAAAAGTATACAAATAAATAAACGTAATAAACTTGTTATATTCCTCTCCATAATGAAATGGGATTAAAAATCCTACCCTGAATGGCCTGAACATTTCGCTGATAGTATCAGGAGAATTGAGGCATAAGGGACCGCCAGGTGGGGCCAACAAGCCGGATACAATGGCCAAACGTGGTATAGTGAACATCAAAGCAGGTTCGTAATTATCCACGTCTGCTTGACTCAGCAAACCACGTTCGAGGGCCCTTTGCAAAGTCTCGGAAAATAAAACGCAAACGAGCTCTTGCTGTTCGTATTCCTTCGTCGATTTGACCGGTACCATAGCGCCAACGTAACAAAGTTCAAAATCGGCGAACAACCGATCGAAAATCTTCAATGATTCGATAAGCTTCTCTAACGATGGCTCCAAAGGATTTTGTGTCTGAGAAAGATACTGAAAAAAAGAAAAAAAAAAAAAAAAAGAGAAAAAATAATCAACGATTTATTCCAACAAAAGTCTTATTATTGTTAATTGTTTGTTTGTTAATTTCAAGGATACCTTTAAATTCATGTGACCCTTCAAAGCATGTTCCCTAAGCAAATTTCTCACTATCTCCAATGATTTTGTGAGTGCTGTTGCTAGTGGTCTCATTGCTGAGCTTTCCGATTCTCTGTTCATGATCGAGGAACCAGCAGCCAAACATTCAGCCCCAAACCACAATTGTCCAGCTAAATTTTCCTGCATCACGTCATCCGGAAACTTAACCCTAAAGTCTCGATTAGCTCTACTGTCTGGTATCAAATCATCCATGATCTGATTACATATAGTTAGGACTTTGTCCTGACAATGACGTAGTTGATTCACTAAAGTGGTACATCGGTCAGGTTCCTGGCGTCCATCGAAGGAATCCAATTCACAGGCAATAGCGTTTAAGGATTCGTCGGCGTAAAAGAACTGGGCCAATAAACTGGTGTCGTCTCTCTAATTAAAACACATATAAAATAAGGATATTTAATATTTTGTTGTTGCTGAAGATATTTGTTAATTTATTATTTATTTTAATTATATTACATTATATTAATAATAGTATATATAATTATTATATACTATTATTAATTTTATTATATACTAATAATATTACTAATATTATAATATATATATTTATTTTGTAATATATATTATTATTATTATTTATATAAATATATTTTATTTACAATATGTATTACAAAATTTTATTAATTATTTAATATATATTAAATAGGATTTGATATTAATTATAATTGCAAAAATAATTTGTAGGAAAAATTATTATATTTTCAAAAATTACCGCCAAGAGATAACTAGGTGGCGTTGTAGAATTGTTGAGTAGCGCGTAAATTTGAAAATACTCACTCAATTATTTCGAAATATTATTATTAATAATAAAGAATGCAGCAAAGTAATAATTTCAATCTTCTTGTTTATTACACCTCGTGTTTATTCTCTATTCAAAGTTTCTTAGTCGATGGAGCATCGAAAGAAAAGACTGACTCAAGCAATAAAATTTATAGACTGAATTGCCCTTTGCACTCTTTCATTTCAACCATGATTGAAAGTTCGAGATGCAACGCCTCTATTGCAGGGAACTTTCATCGAATGTTTCATGTTTTTAATAATGTAATGAGAAAGAGAAATAAATAGAAAGAGAGAGAGAGAGAGAGAGAGAGAAAGAATAAAAAAACAAGTTGAAAAGAAAAATCATGACGAGAGTTATGTTCGCTAATACAAATATTGAAATAGAAGATAAGCAGACGCGTTAATAAAACGCGAAGCTTGTCTAATAAAAAAAAAATACAAAAAAAAAAAGGTGGTTTCTCTCAGCAATCGATTACGCTACTTGCATTCCATTTAACGATTGCTCGAGCAAGTAACCCGTTCGATGGATTGACACGCGTAAAATTCCTTTTTAAATTGAGTTCGTGTTCGTTCAAAAATTAATGAAACATTCCTACGAAAAGAAAGTTATTCGTTGCTTTTAATAATAATAAACAAATTTAAAATTGTATTTCTATATTTATATTTGGTAGTTTTTTTTTTCTTTCTATTATACTAAAATCAAACGAGATATTATATTATGGAATTAAAAAAGAAAAAGAAAAAGAAAAAGGAAATAAATATATTTTATTAATAATTCAATTTGCAATTTTTTATTCGTTTTTTTCTCTTTTTATTTTCATCTTTTTGACTTTAATTTTAGCAAAATATTCGACGTTGTTATTTGAAAAGCCAAGGTTTTAAAAAATGTGGCCTCGATAAATATAAATATTATATTAATATATATACAATATTAATTATTATTTTCTTTTAATTATTATAATTTTATTAAGAGAAATATTTATTTTTATATTATATTAATAATAAATATATATATATATATAAATATTTTATTATTTTATATTTTATATATATTTATTATATTTATATTATTTTATATTTTTATATATATATATATATATATATTAAAGTGAAAGAATATCGAGAAACGTTTAAGTAAATTCCCATTTATTTCCTAATTCTGATAGCCTAACATTGTCTCCTAAACTTCTTCTCCCTTCTCTCTTTTTAAGATTTCAAAAGCAATGCTTGAGAACAAGACTTAGAAAGCGTGTCGCCAGTTTCTAGTCTTGTTACTACACTACGCCAGAATAGGAAAGAGAACTTGATTGACGTTTGTAAAACTGACACGTTCTATTGAATCAAATGATTAATTTATATATTTTAGTTTTAATTATTATTTCATTTATTATTCTATTTATTATTTTAATTAATTAAAATCTATTATTATTGTATATTTAATTTAATATTATATCTTAATTATTATTTTCAATAAAAATATTCTTAAATTTAATTATATTAAATATTTTAATAAAATATATTTAAATATCTGAAAAGACTAAAAGAAGAAATAATTGATTTATTCATTTTTAATATTAAATTCAAATATATTTATTATTCATTAATAAAATATTTCTAATCAAATATTAATTTAACATTTGAGAAATAGAAAACAAACAAATTCATTTATTTCGTCAAATCATATTACAATGTTCAACTTGTTGATACAATTATCTTCTTCCTTGTTCTCAGAAATAATATTTCTTTTTTTTTCTTCTTCTTCTTCTTCTTATTTCCTTTAGTATTAACTCCTCGAATAGAAGTGACGAGTATGATTAGGAACTATGAAATTTATGTTATTATGATTACACACAACTTATAACGCGATAACATTGAAGAATAGTTTGTCTATAATACGCTCTAATATAGAATTTTGCTTATATAATAGTTTAACACAGTATATAGCATTAATTGATTAATTGATCCAATAATGTTTAATGTTAAACACGAATACTGTGTGTGTGTGTGTGTGTGTGTGTGCTTGGAGCTCTTGCCTCCTCCTCCCCCCCACCCCTTTTAGTATTATTAAATAATGTTTATTATTTGATTGTCATCATTGAATTAATGTGAAAAAAAAAAAAAGAAATTAGTCAATTAATTTATTTTTTTTTTTATATCTATTTAACTACCTATCTATCTATCTATCCCTTTCTTTCTTTTTTTCTGTTTTTATTTTTTTTTTTTATGATTCTGGCACTAAGCCACCCCTAATGACGTCATCCTTTAGATCGATATTACAGTTTGATTCTTAAGAGTGTTGTTACTTCGAAGTATTTATTAAGACGGTAATCATAAATTAAGACGTCTTGTGTCTACATTTTGTCAAATATGTTCTTATAACGATCATCATTAATCATTATTATTTATGCGTTCAATTTATATGCATACATATCTTCGATTACAGTTTTCTTTTTTCTTCTTCTTTTATTTAAAAAAGAAAAAAAAAATTAGATTAGTTAAGCACGTTTATCTGATACTATTAACGTGAAAGAATATTGATTTTCATACAAATTACTAAAGAGAAAAAACAAAGAAGAAAATAATTAGAACAATTAATTCATTACCCGCCACAATAATGAAAATGCAAAAAAAGAAATAAATTAAATTACCTAACTGTATAATGATATTCATGCTAACAATATAAAACTATTTTTGCAATAATTGTATTTTTGTTTTTGTTTTTTTTATTTAAATATAAAAATTATTTATATTATTATTATTTAATATAATAAAATTATAATTTATTAATAAATAATTATTAAAATGAATAATAATTAATAAAATTTACATTATTATAAATAGATATAAATATTTTTATTAATTTTATTAATATTTGATTATTAAATTTATTTTTAATTAAAATTTTATTAATATTTTTTATTTATATTTTTATTAATATTTTTTATTTAGAAGAAGAAGAAGAAGTTTATTTTTCAGGTATACCCCTTTTAAGGTGTTTACCCCGAAGGCCCCCCCCCTACATTAATATTTTTTATTAATTTTTTTCTTATTAATATTAATATTAATATATATATATATTAATTTTTTATATATGTTAAAAAATTTAATTGATTAATTTTTAATATTATCTTTGAACGAAAAATGTTTTTGATAAAATATAGAAAATCATCAAATCAACACACACACACAAAAATAAAAAAATATAAAAATATATAAATCATCAAAATTTGTTAATTTCTAAAATATATAATAGAAGGAACCAATTGGTTTCTATGTTTTTCTTCAAGATATCAATCGATTCGTTTTTATCAATACTCTCTTATCACACGTTTGTCTGTATATCTGCGTGCGTTTATGTGCGTACGTGTGAAAATGACAGTATTAATTCTTCCACAGCCATGTGTTCATTTAAAACGAAACCTACACTATTCCTGTCATTGTATTAAATATATTCGCACTTGTACCGTATTATCTCAACTTTATTTGCACGTGCGTTTAAACAGTAGACAAGAAAGAAAAAAAAAAAAAGATAAAAAGAAAGAAAGAAAGAAAGAATAAAAGAAAGAAAAAAAAAAGAGTTTCTTTTTAAATAAATGTAATCAAACACGAGGAATACGTAAACATATCAATCAATCAAACTAATAATGTAATCGTAATTCAAATTATCGAGATCTCATTTATTTTTTTCTATTTCTATTTTTTTTTCTTTTCTTTTTTGTTGTTGTTATTGTTGATAAAGATACGAAATCCGGTTAATCTTTTATCTTAAATTTTCTCAAATATGATTAAACTAAATGACGCAAATAATATGCACGCACGTGTGCATTTACGTTTTATATGTTTATACATATTATTATATTTAATTATTTTTTAATATATATATATTTTTTAATGAATTATTATATTATATTATTATTTCAATAATTATATATTAATAATAAAATTTTTTTTTAACATAATTTATACTATTAATATTTATACGTAGTATTAATATTAATATTATTAATACATGATAATAATATAATTTATTAATAATATTATAATAATTATATTATATTATTGGTATTATAATATAATATACTATAATTTTTAATATTATTAATATTATAATAATAATATAATATAATATTATTATAATATATAAATACTTAAATATATAGATATAGATATAGACATATAATATATATATTATATATATTTGTATATCTATATCTATATATCCATCTATATATATATATTGTTTATTTATTTATAAATTACTAATAAAATAATATTATATATATATTTTCAGTATGTTTTTCTCTGCAACTAGCAAAGTTATCTGATAAGGATTATAATTGTATTATATCGCGCATATCGGATAAACTCACGTAAAGAGACGTTTGTCGTGCGATAATGTGTGACTCGTTTTAAACCAAATGGCTCGTATAGTAGTATTCCACGAAATATTTCTCATCTCTATCATATTATATATTCACAAGTATATTTTTATCATATATAATACATATAAAAATGTACAAAGTTAATAGAAATGTTACATATTATGTTTTTTCTTTTCTTCTTTTAATCGTTAGAAGATTATAGAT